CTTGAAAAATCATATATAATATACAGTATATATACATAATTGAACCTAGGTGTGCTCATAATTTTACTAATAAAATCGCAGCTGTCTATTAAGTTAAAATTGTTTTTTAGCCAATTTTACCATAATGCGGGCTTATTTTTAAAAAATTTCTATTTTTATATAAAAAAATCAAAAAGTTAATTCTGGCCGGAAATTAGTAAACAATTATGTAATGTGCTCGAAAATATGCCATGCATTTTTTGTGTGGCACCTAGGTTTAATTATGTACATATGTACATAGTACAGTATATACGTTGTACACAGATTGAAACATCTATCTAATATATCAATAAAGTAACACTGCCTTGAATACAGGTTGCACATATGATAAATTACTACCTACGCAGTTGTTTATAGAATCATGCAACATGTTCTTTCTTTCTCATTTTTCATCTATTTTCTTTTTTGTATTATGACTGTCGTTCCAGCAGGCTATTTTTTTGTGACTGTCGTCTCAACAGATCACATTTAACATTTTTCAGCATACAATCCTAACAGATCCCACCACCTGCTCTTATTTATGACTGCTATCCCAGCAGGCTATACAAATTATGCGTCGCTCTAACGCAGATAGAGTGGGAGGGATCAATATAACCAGAACGAAAGTCGGGTTCGCAGAAAAGACAAAGCTAATTCCTATTATTTTCACTCACTTACTAAATATACTACGATCCAATTACCTTATTAATCAATTAATCAGTTATCTCATACTTACTAAGACTAATCATTCTAACAATACTTCATTAATGATCGTACTACTAATTACCTGATTACCTCATACTTAATCGATCGATTGAACATGTGATCGTAACCATGTTTGATCAGATGGCACATGATTCGAGGCAAAAGTTGCCTCGATACTTACATATCTGGCATGTTCATTCATTTTTTTGCAATGTTTATTTAGTGTCTAACTTATCGATGTATTATCTAATTATCAAAAATCTCATGATAAACTATATTGGCTGTGTAATATCCTTGATCTGTTATCCGGCTAACATCTGTAACGATCTTAATATTTCGGCGGGAACATACTCAGGAAAGAGCCATATACAATTGTCCGTAAGTAAATACTGGCTCTGGAAGGTAAAGCCCAAGGTTTGAAATAGTTTGGCTTTGTGCTTTATTTATTGTTAAAGCAAAGGCCAACTTAATTGGAAATTGATATCAATGGAGCTTGAATGGAAGTTCTGTATCAGATGGCTCAAGAACTATACATGAAATGAAAACACGTAATCCTGAACATGAACTTGTAACAACTTTAGCATCAAGTACATGTTGTTGAAAGTCTCGAATGATTAGGTGTGTCTCATTGCACAAACCTTTTTTTGCATTTAGATTGCGAAGTAATATAATGGGTACACCTTTTTTAAGATTTAATTTGTGAGGAGGCATACTATTTGGAGAAAGTGTATTAAGAAACTCCAGAGGATATAAATTATTATTAATACTCTCAGCATCCCCAACAGAGTCTGCAGAGCAATAAGTCTTTTCCTCACCAGGAAAATCAGATAAGATCAAATTATTGATTTCAGCAACTCTTTGATTTTTGGTTATTAAAATTGCATGTTCTAAAAGATATTGACAATTATTCCTTCTTGTTTGTAGGTCACTGTATATGTAATTAATTAGTTCCTGTAGCCGATCTTCGAGCATTATGTTATCGGGCAAACGAATGAAATCCTGGCCAATATTAGGGTAAGTGAGTTTCTTTCCCTCTCCAATTCGAAGAAGATAATCAGTGAATTCACAATCTTCTGCTGCATTAGAATCATTTGTTTGTTGAAGACGCATGTTTCTTGTAAGTGGCATTTGCTGAATTGAATCCCAAAGATAAGAACGTTTAAAACTGGCATTAACGATTTGTCCTTGTGACCTACAAATAATAACTGGCAATATTTGGCAAAAATTACCTCCAAGTACTATAAGCTTTTCACCAAATGGCTTATCAATATCAGTAATATCACGTAATAACCTATCAACAGCTTCGAATGCAAATTTATTAACCATAGAAGCTTCGTCCCAAACTATTAACTTTGATTCTTTTAACAGACGAGCATTCTCAGATTGTTTTGATAACTGACATATTGAAGTTTCATTTAGTTTTAAAGAAATCTTTAATCGAGAATATGCAGTTCGACCGCCCATAAGCAATAATGCTGCAATCCCTAATGAAGCTAGAGCTAGTGTGATCTGATTCCGAATGCAAAAGTAGGCTAAAAGAATATTATACAAAAAAGTCTTTCCAGAACCACCAGGACCATCAATAAAAAAAAATAGAGAGGTCTGGATTTGATTGTTCCATAGCTACTACTACAGCATTATATATTGTACATTGTTCATCATTTAGTAGAGAAACATCTTCAAGAATCTGCTGCAATTTGTTCTGTGGAAAAGTTGTCTCTTCTATAAAAAGCTGTGTTTGTCTATTACAATCCAATAAATCATAATATATGGCAGGTAATTCAGGAAAGTCTTCAAGGCTCTTTCCATATTGTTTAATGTGATCTTCAATTTCAAGTAAAGCACAGTTTATTATTAAAGGATCCTCTGATGTGGCGTTTTGGCCAAGCTGTTGTGCGGCATATACGAAATCTTCTGTTAGAGCCGGCAAGTAAGCATCCCACAAATCTCTGACACCTGCTGGCTGGCAATAAACTAATATAGTTGCGAATAAGAGGCATAGCTGTGATGGCATTTGAAAAAAGCTTGCTTCAGATAAGCAGTTAAACCATTCATCATCACTTTCTAAAAAACCTAATTGTTGCGCAGCTTGTTTGAATGTTGGATAGGTGATACTATTAACTGTACGCAGGTTTTCAAATGATTTTGGACCACGAATATGACATAGCAAAAAACGTAAGCAAAAGCGTTCTGGATCGTTTGGTGGACAGTAATATAGTCTCCCAATCACTTTGTTTCCACTTCTTTTTCAACGGTGCCAGGCCTCTTTTTTCCAATAGAAGAATTTTGGGAATTTTGAATATAGGAGTTCTGCAGCTTCTGGATTATTTCTACATACTTCGAAGAATCTCGTAAGTTTTGTGTGCATGGCTGTTAATAAAATTTCACTTGGATTCGAACGTGCATTAAAAAGAACTGATTGTTGGTTTGGTAAGTATACCTATAATTAAAAATAGAAATATTTAAATTATACTTAGAAGCAGTTAAAAAAAAAAAAAAGATTTTTTCATTCTTATATGCAGTCTTTTTACTTGATGAGATCTTTTTTGTAGGTCGTAGGAGAAAATTCTCCAACATGCTTCAGAAGCTGAAACATACCGAGCATCAAGATATTTTTGGATCTCATCATAAGCTGTGTTCCTAATACCATCATTCTGAACAACAACTAAAGCCTGGTCATGCCCTTTATAGACATATTTGTATAAGTATTTGACTGACGTGATAGTAGAACAAATTTCTACATTAATGTGACAGTCATACTTTTGGCATAAGTATGGGTTGTACGGCACTACCCACCTATTTATTTAGTTGACTATTAGTCAATATCAACTATTACATAAAAAAGAAACATAATTTACTAATATACCTATTGTTTAATGTGCAGCTTCTTAATTGAATAGTGTACTTGTTGTCCCACCGTCTATATAACGAATATCTATTTTTATCCTCCGTAGTAATATCAATAAAGTGCTTGGGATAGTTTTTTGAACAGGTATCATTTTGCATACATGGAGCATTTGGTGCAAGTATACTACAAGGCCCATGTATCATACATCGAGTAATAGTCTCATAAAGCTGTGGCTGACAAATAGGGTCGAGAAGTTCAGCAGATACAATACTGTCATAATCAGATGGCGTTCGTGGTTTATCCTCTTCTGCAAGTATTATTAATATATGCATGTGCGGAAGTCTCCTTTTTTGAAACTCAATGACTAATACAAATGCCACTACCTTCCCTAATATATTTTTTCTTATAAGATCTTTTAAAATTTCTTTTAACTTGAGATTAAAAACGCAGGCAATGATATCATGCTGATCACTTGGCGTTTGTCTGTTATAGAGCTCAGCACGAATCTCAGGCCAATTGGGGTTGCACGTAACTGTAATGAATAGACTTGGCTTCCCAAATTCTTGCACAATTGCTATTGCATCTTGATAGCATTGGCTCATATAACGATCACTGCTAGTAAATAATGAAGGCAGAATGATTCGAGTTCCTATATTGCTAAGATCTTGGAAGTCATTTGCCATTGCATTAGCAAGTCCTTGATAAAGATTTGCACGAAGTGTACGTTGATTCATTCTATGCCAGAGAAGTCTATTCTGTTCAATTTTAGCATACTGATCAACAATGTATTGGTAAAAAAGATGCCCAGCATGATGAAGTATACCATCAACAGGGTTGCGTATATGTAAACAATATGCTGCATAGTTTCACAACGTGACTTGAGTTCGCTGCTGTGTTTGTCTCAATTCATTGTCTAAATCCCCATTCTCAGAATTGTTATCACTTGCAAGCTCATGGCTTTCATGATGGTTAGATCTGGCACTTGTTGAATAAGGAATATTGGGATACCACCCAAGCTGGCCATATGAAAATA